GAGAAGGCGCAGGGTGCGAAAGAGGGCGCCTACGAGAAGGCGCAGGGCGCCAAAGAGAGTGCTGGATCCATCAAGGACTCGGCCTACGAGAAGGCACAGGGCGCAAAAGAGAGTGCTGGATCCATCAAGGACAAGGCGTACGAGAAGGCACAGGGCGCGAAAGAGGGTGCAGGTTACTTAAAGGACAAGGCGTACGAGAAGGCACAGGGTGCGAAAGAGAGTGCAGATGAAGGGAAAGAAGAGGCGATGAAGAAGGTAAAAGAGACGAAAGAGAAGACATTGGAAGCTGCAGAAGCAGCAAAAGAGAAAGCCAAGGAAGAAGGTGGGGAGGGTTTGGAATGGGCCAAAGAGAAAGTGAAACAAGGTTACGAAACAACGAAGCAGAAAGCAAAGGAAGGATTGGAGTCGGCGAAAGAGGCGGTAGGGAACAAGTACGAGGAGGTAAGTGCGCAACATAAGCAGAAAGCCAACGACTTTAAGGAAGATGTGGTACTAGGTGGTCGATCATGGGACAGGGAGCTTTGAAGCAGAAACTCGTCGGATATGTTGATGTTATTTGTTGTGTTATTTCGTCTTCTTTTGGTGTAAATATGTATAAATAATACGTTATGGATTAGATCAACCAACAGTATGTATGTGTACCAGTAATAGTATAATTGAGTTGAATAAGTTTTGCTGGTCATGATATATATGGGCCTCTGGGTAGGCTCCTAATAGCCCAAGCCCAATAATACGAGTCCGATACCAAGCCCAAGCCCAAGCCCAAAACAGATGGCATGGGTATGGGCGAGGCAGTGATGTCCTCCTGATGGGTGCGGGCTAAGAATAATACATCTGAGAGTAGGGCTGTAAACGAACCGAACGAATACGAACGGAGGCTTGTTCATGTTCGTTCGTTTAACTTAACCGAATAAACGAACGAACACGAACGGTAAACGAACGAAAATCTTTGTGTTCGTGTTCGTTCGTTTAGAAATAAGGTGTGTTCGTGTTCGTTTATGTTCGTTCGTTAACATGCTAAACGAACGTAAACGAACGAACGGGCTAAACGAACATAAACGAACGGGCTAAACGAACATAAATAAATATTACTTGAATTCAAAGTAAATAAATAAAAAATTGTATATTAAATTTAATATATAAACGAACATAAACGAACGTAAACGAACGATAAATGAACGAACGTAAACGAACG